TATTGGATAATTTCGGGAGAGGAATCAGTGTCGGGTGAAAAATACACACTCGCTTAAACTTGTTCACTAATTATTAAAAGAAATAAGCAAATAAATCAATTACAAAAAACTTGATTGATAAGAAAAACTCAGATTATAAAAGAATGTCTTTTCCCACACGTGCTTTAGTATAGAGCACTGTGCGCGCGGCTTCGAGCAGCTGGAAGGCAGGACGCTGAATTAATGAAGGAGACGGCGGGCTAGCTTCCGTTGCCTCAGCTCTAGTTGTCCGCAGGTGATATGCGAGCGAGAGAGCCAGCAGCTGAACCCCGTTGATCAGGCGCGGCTCTGCTTGCTGTCTGCTGGCTTGCGCGGGCGACAAGGAGCTTGACTCGGCTAGTCAAACTCTTGTCTCTGCTCCAGCTTCTGCTTGCGTGCTCGGCGCGAAGATTGTGCCCCAGGTTGTGGCGCTACATATCTACTAAGTGACTTCAGACATTTTGTATTTATTGGCTTGGGTCATCCACTTTTGGAAATGATAATAGTCGCCAACTGTCACAAAGGTTCTAAATTGTTGTCTTTTATATTAATATGTGAGCTTATTTTAAAATAGACACCACGTCTAACGAGCAAAAGAAATAATTGAACAGCACAAACTGTACGAGCAAAACGAACGAAATGAACGAACCGAACGAACGAACGATAAAATCGAACGTGCCCGAGAGTACTTCAAGACTCAACATGTCGATGTATCGATAAATCAGGATTTTTTCGCGAGCGAATCACGACAACATGCGATACATCGATAAATTCGCGTAATGTGACGTAAATAACCCATTTTCCTATTTAAGATATCGCTCCATCGCAAATGACGTCTCAAAACCAAACGACTTTGCAAGACATCGAATATTTAATAAAGCTGATATCGATATGGTACACTCGACTACAATATAATATACCGAGCGGTGTTTTTAAAATGAGTGTCATTCGGAGAAGGGTTTTGCGCAAAAGATACGAAAAGTAGAATGTGTGTACTACGAATTTATCATTTAATTTAAAAAAAAAAACAAATTTACGATGTGAAACGTGATAAAAAAACGCTGTCGATAAAAACAAAAAAATAAGTGCACACAAATGTGGTAAAAATAATTTTTTGCCATTTTCGGTTAGCATGAATGTAAGTAGGAGGTCCTGCTACAACAGTTTACATGTATATATCCATCGTGAATTAAAATATTACGTAAGTATATATGTATGTATCTACTTAGAGGTGGTTGGCTCGTCGAAAAATCAATAATCGCATGAAGCACGTAATGTGGGAAAGAATGAGATAGAATGGAAGCAAAGGGAAAAAAGGAGTCGGAAGCGTCGTGTACATATTATATATACAGTGTATACGTGTGTATACATATATTATAGGTACAAGGGGCGCAGTTGACAAAGAGTGTTCGAGCCGAACGCAATGACATTTATAGTCATTCAGCTTTAGGCAAATTTATTATTGTTATTATATTATTGTATACCTACATGAGTGATGCCAAGTGTCGGACACCCGCACCAATTACGCGTAATGAACTGTCGGGTACAGATGATATCTCAGCTGGCCTTATTGCAGGCCCCCGGTAATAACAGTAGTAACAACAATAAGCGAGTCGGGCTGTTACTGTCAAGCTGAGCCTAGTTGCGATTTTCCATTGAAGCGACTACCTACGTCAACATCAGAGCAATCGACTTATACACACAGCTTGGACAATAATATATATATATAAGTTGCCGATATACCTGCTACTGCGAGTGCAATAATTTTTGCGCGCAAGCAAGTGGTCACAACATCTGTACATCCATCATCCGTAATATTATTGACGCGAGAAGCTAAATAGGATGGTCGACCTCAGTGCTGGCGGCCCGGAGGGTCCTATCGAGCACGGCTTTAGTAACGGCGTCTTCGTCATCCCAGCCGTCATAATTATAAGCCTTTCCGGTGAGATTTTCTAACACTTCTTTCATAGGTATTATTATTTGCGACGGAGGCTTCACTCACTTTTACTTTTATTATCTTTACAAGTGCCTGCAGTTGCTCACTTTTTCAAATAAATTTTGACTATCCTATGTTCAAGTACTTTCAATTATACCCATTGCTCCAAAATGTTTTTTTCGCAAGTCTTTTATTTATACTCTCTTCTTCTGCCACTGCACCTGCCTGATGTTTGCACACCTGTTCTGTCACTGCACTGTACTGCATACAATACAACATGTACTTATACGTCGAGCTGCTTTCATCAGTATTAATTTGTTTATTAGCAAACGCATTGTATGATATGTTCCAGCTCTTTCGCGCGAGTTATTGAACATTTTTTAACAAGTGCGAATATACATATACATAAAGGTACTTATTGACATGCACCTTACACTTTTCCTCAAAGAAATATACGTCTATGAAAACCGAAATCATAAATAAAAAAATTACTACAAAATAGTTACGGTTTTTTTTTTTTCATAAGGAGTTTGTGTCAACAAATACTAACAAAAATAACTGTATTATTCATTGATTGAAATATCGAGTCTGTTGGTAATAACCTTCTTAAGAAATAACATTAAAAAAAAATAAAAAAAAGTCATTAGTGAAAAAGCACTAAACAGTTTGACATGATTTTCCACGAATTAGACAAAAACAACATTGTTAACGAGATCGAGGGTGTTCTGTTCCACAAAGATAATAATATATTTACATACATATACGCCCGAATTGGGCATCAGAATCAGAGTACGTCGGGCAAAGGGACACCCCCATGTAGCTCTGTAATGATAAATTTCGCTATGGTCATGAAAAGCAAAAGCGCCCTTTCCTCAAAAATAAATGAAAAGGAACATCAAGTCGCGGTTGGACTTTATTTTAAAAAAATTTGTACACTCCTCTCTGTCAAAGTACATAAGCTGAAGCTGTAAGCGCCACGGATGCCGAACTTTCAGTTTTAAATTCTCCATGGATGAGCGCATACAGCAGGTTTACTATCTTACACGTATACCGCATATACCTATAACATATAATGTTTCAAGTGACGTTTATTACAGTTAAATACACACCATACATTACCAGATTCGCAAGCATTGCATCCGATGAGCCACATCCACGGGGCAAAAAATATATATTATTTTACCCGTAAAAATAGGTATCATCTTATCTCTCATTCATACAGTTTACACCGTTACTCGCTCCCTCTAATTCTTACACATATTCTTAATACTTACACATATTCCAGACGCACACGCTCGTGGATAATCTTTCTCCCTCTTTTTTTTTTCTGTATTTTTCTTCTTCGACATCGGCCACGTAGACGCATCGCACTCTATACTATCATGTGTGCGCGCGTAGCTTTTAGGTATTCGTAATATACTATCTCCTGATAATGTCATACTGAACTTTGAGTAAAATTAGTCTACTTATCTGTACACACGTATGTGAACCAATACTCTCGCGTAGCGCCAAGAAACCTCTGTTGGGCACGTATTTTGTTGTAGATACCTCGCATTGCTAGTCGACAGGCAGGTTTGTGCACGACGCTTGAGCTGTTTATCAGGTATTTTTTTCACTCACCTACCAAACATCTTGTTAATTTATGGTTTCGCCATTCAAAATTCACTCGAGAAAAAAACCGCGAATAATGTCACGCGTCCACGTTCGTTCGGCCGTGGTGCTATATTCATTTGGGCTTATGTCTTTGAATATTTCATGGACCGGTAAAATACAAATTTTTAAACGTGTGCGTATGCTTTATTCGTCAAGGCATTACTTTATTCGGTATCCAACCTTACAATACTTGATGATTATTTGACACGTGCTATTTGATGATACAACTAACTCTAAAAAAATTACCATCGAAAGTTTTGTGCTTAATAAATCATTGCAACGGACAACCTATCACATTTGAATTTGTTACGTGGGAATAATCGAAGCTGGCACTTACAACATAATCCTAAATTAGTGTAAAGACGTTGAGTATTTAGTTACAGTTTCGAAAAAAATTCAACCAGATTGTAGCCAGAATTACGTAAGAGACACGTTGCATATCAATGTACACGCACGAAATTCTGTTTTCAAATTGCCCGTTTGAAAGTTATTATTACTTATGCGTTGTTTTCCACCTTATCAAATTAGAATACCTGTGATGAAATATAGAACTTTATCTGGGCCCTACTTTTCCGATTGTCCACACTTGAAAAATATTTTTTAATTTCTTGACAATGAAACGGAAAATTATAGGGGACCAACTATATTACCTTTCTTTTTTTATTACCTAATACGCAAAAGAAAATTTCGGACTTGAATCAAAATATAACTAAATGTTCGCGATCGTGACACGTTTTACTATTTCATATCCTAGAATACATTGATATATACATGCGACGATGCTATACTCAGGACGATCGTGTATTGGTCACTGTTGTGAAACAAATTCGTTTTCGAATCCTTCGGATGAACATCGGAATCGGATTTCAAAGGATAGCGATCGAGACATCATCGGTAAGGAGAAAACGAAGGACTTAAGATGCTGAAGAAAACAGTTGGATGGGCGTTTCTGCTGGTGATGGCCGTGCAGGCCATCCTGGTGTTGGCATCTTCGGATGAGCAAGAGGACATGACTGTCGAGAACGAAGAAACGCCAGGTTTCCCAGGCGGCAAGATGCCCACGAAGGAGGAGCTGCTCAAGGCCCTGGATTCGATGACCGGCTTATCCCCCGAGGACAGGGAGTCCATCCGCAAGGAGATCTTGTACGGAAGGTCCAGTGCCGAGGAGACACCGGACGAATTCGTCGAGGAAGGCGTGCCGCAATACGCGGGCTCGGTCTTTTTCTCCCAGTTCTTCATGCTCGTCGCCATGCTCTCGGTTTTGGCTCTTATCTTTGGTAAAATTAAGCGGTTTTATCGAAATTACTCAAACAACATTTTACTGCGCCTAACAAAAACTCTAACACAAACCATACCAAACTCTGGATTGAATTTGATTAACAATACATTCATGTTTAATCTCTTACAGTATATTGCACGTCTCGATACATGATCATCTTTTGAACGTTTAATTATTTTTTTCATCTATCGATTGTATTGTCTACTAATCCTTTCTCATCCTGCATTTTGTGTGCGCATGCATGTGATTTTCATCGCCATTTTAGCTAATTAACATTCACTTATATACTTGGGGTGAAATTGTATAGTTCAAGGAACTGTCTAGGCAAGTATTTTTCACGTGCTTTTATTTTTAATTTTCAGTGTTCTTCAGTTACAAACTGTACAAAAGTTTGTCAGACCGGGAAAGGAAGCGCGAAGAAAAGAAGAAAAACAAGCAGTTGAAAAAGAAAAAATAATTTGTAAAGAAAATACATTTTTCGATTAAGTTCACGAATGGAGTGGCTGTTGTACAATAAAAAAAATTCTTTTGATAAATTTAATGCTATTTTCTTATTAAAATCAACATATATTCATAGAAAAATACATCAGTCGTGGATTTCAATCATCTATTATGAATATAGTTATTATATGTGCGCGTGTATACATAAAATGATGGATGAGAAAAACAAAAAATTTCATTATGTAAATATTTTATTATACTCAAGTTTGAAGTAACATTAAATTTTTACATGTTTTCGGTTGAATTAACCCTACACCACATTTTTCAAATACTCATGTACGTCAGTGGAACTGAGATTAGTTCTAGATCCTATTTTGAAACATCACTTTACACTAGACCGTTTCTAAATAAGATCTTGGACAGATCTTAGCTTAATTGACTGTACAATGACTTGAGTCTTGATCGTTTTTTTCTTTTTTACAAAGAAAGAATAATTATCTAAAATATAAAAAAATATTTTTTTAGAACGCATGCAGACGATTATCTTGCTATCTGTAAATTTTTTTTTTTTTTTTTTTTTACAAAACTAAGAAATTCAAAGCAATGCTAAATAAAATAACTTTGCATCAGCTCCATGGCGTGCTTTCACACGAACAGCCTAAATAATACAATTTTTATCCTAAAAATAATGTAATGTTATTAATTTCTTATGAATACTTAATTGGCACATTTCTTATCCTGTCATATTGCTAAACATCTCTATTTTTTTTATAAATTTTCATTTTGATGTTATAAATTTAAAAGAGACTTTATTTAGACAAACTATATCAACAATTTCATTTTACTTTCTCCTCAGCCCTTCTTGGTACAGTTTCTAATAAGCTGAATATTTCTGCTCACATTACAATTTTCATCTAAATTAATTGTTAATGGCAGTAATATTAATAACATGCAAACTATCACGAGAACCTAGACAAAAAAAAATAAAATAAAAATATAATTGTGTTGATTTACCAACTAAGAAAAAAAATAAATAAATAAAAAAAATAAAACAAATGCTTTTAGTACATAATAAAAAAAACGCATGCAAAATAAAACAAGAAATACACGTACGTTTTTTTACCGTACGAGAAAAGCTTACTTATATTATATTTATTCTCTAAAAATTGAATAAAATAAAAAGTAATTAACAACAAGAAAAATAACAACACTGGATGTAACTAAAAAAATATTTAAACCTCCAGAGTGAAGTTTTCCGTTAAAAATTTTTCTCATTCCAATTTGAACGTGAAAATTTTACAAATCTAACAATCCTTTCAGACAATTGATAGAAAGCTTTGACGTACCTTATGTCGGCTTGTCTAATGTTTTAACTATGATGCACAGGTACTTAAAATCGAATGCAATTTTTTGTGACGCAATTCCGTCCATGTTTCCAAAGTCGTCATAATAATAATTATTATTATCGTTATACTTATAATTATTATCATCATCATTATCATTATCATTAATACTATTATTACTATCGTGCAGTGAAGGTATATTTTTTATCGATCTCGTGGTTGTACACGATCTCCTCAGTCAGTGAGGGGAGGGCTTGAGCAGAAGTTTATAACGATCGGTTCCAGCTTCTGAAAGGAAAAAAGCACGATTATATTCATACGTGGGGTGATACTCGACTGGAGTAAAGATAAAAAAAGAATGGCCATAGTTGTTTTGACTGACCATTGATGGTTTCAACGAGGAACATGCACTCGTCCTTGATGTTGGCAACGAGTTCGTTGGTGACGACTACGTGGATGCCCTGGGGCCCGAGCATGAGGATCGAGTGGAGGCGCTCGCGTGGCAAGCCGATGGCACCGAGGAGCTTGTTCGTAAACGCCCCGAGGGTCAGGCTGTCGAGGTAGACGGGGCGCCAAAGGCTGGCAGGGCCCGAGGACTCGAGCGCAAAGTACAAGCTCAGCTTGGGCTGGAGCATTTTGGCGTGGAGCGCGTTGTAGAGCCGGATACCATCGGCCAGGCCGCAGATCTGGATCAAATCGTCGCGAGACAGCCGAAGGATATCCGAGGCCGAGAAGCTCGCGAACGTCGACTCGAACGCGTGGAAACGCTGGGCGCGCAGCCACGAGCTCGTCTGCGCCGCGCTCGCGTCAGCCGACAACTCAGATCCCTGGGACTGTTGGCAGCTCTCGACCACCTGCAGGCGCTGCTGGTGCTGCTCGAACACACAAGTAGTTAGAATTACATTATGACCTTTGCAGCTACGCGAATTTAATGACAAAGACGTGGACTCACTTCGATGTCGGCCGAGTTCTGCTCCGGTTGGATGGCCGTGGCGGGCGAGGGAAGCGCCGGACTGGGCCCGACATCCTCCTTGATGCTGGACTCGGGAGTACTGGCGACCGGCACCAGGCTCGAGGAGAGCGCAAGGGGCGCAGTCACCGGCGACGAGTTGCCGCTCACGCGACTCTGCGGTGATCTGAGAAACAAAAACAAACGCGCGTACCATATGCGTTAGGGTCACATTTCACTCTCTCGCAATCAAATCAAGTTTACAATCTAAATTTTAATCCCCGCGATGATGATGATTCGTTCCTTCATTTATTCGACTGATGGGTAAAGTGTATAACATAAAAACGAAACAGTGTTATATTATATACGTGCAACTCATTGAGCTACGAGGGGACTCCTCTTATTCTGAAAAGGCCCCTCTCGCTTGGACGTGTCAAAATTGTCAACTAATACTTAGTTGGATCGAGCTCGTAGTATAGATTAATTTAAAATCAAACGGAGTCGAAGCAAATTCTTCCTTTTAAAGCGGTGACCGCATTTTTTTTTTTCACCCGTCATCTACCGCGTCACCTTGAATTTATCTTTTTGAAAAACAGCGACTTATTTAATTGTAAATAAATGTCTAAACTAAAAACTGAGGGGGAAAAAAAAAGAATGAATAAATGCTGAAGCAATCGGTATACGAGAGACATCGAGAGCGAGATGCTTACGAGTGCAGCTTAACGGAGGGCTTGAAAGAGTGCCCGCGGTGGTGCCTAAATGCAGGAGACGACTTGATTATCCCGTCAGTCTTGGTGTGAGTGACGCGAGTGCCGATGCACTTCAAGTTGGCGCGTCGCTGTTGTTGCTGCAGACGGCGATTTCTAATGACGAGACTGACGAGCCCACCTTGGCCGAGCGTTGGTCTGCCGCGAGCTTGCAAGCGCCGGGCGAGCAGGTGAACGAACCGAGCCACGAGCTCGACGCTCGAGCTCGGGCTGCTTACCGTCACCTCGTGCTCGATCAGGCAGATCAAGCCCTCGTTGTTCAATACGCTCGGCTGCCGCTGGCCGGCAGGTAGCCTCAGCATCCAGCGGCTCCTCAAGTCCCAACGGTCCTTGTCAAGCATAATACGCCGATTACTCTGTACACTCCGGAAGCTTCGAGCCAATAATTCCCACTGATCTTTGCTAATGTCTCTCCCTCGAACTTTGGCTTTTCAAAATATGTTTCTCCTCTTCGTATCCTCTAACAATCGCGAAACATCATCTTGATTGCCATTGCAATACCACAAGTGGGTGTACAACTACTAGGTACTGTTAACTTTCTTTTCTTTTTTTCAGAGTTACCGGTGATTCAAGTAAAGCTCACTTACATTCAACGAGCTTTTATCGATTCTTCTTGGTTTGAGCTTTATCGGAATCTTTTGTTCTCGAGTGGCCTTGTAATCTGTATACGTATTGAAATCGAAAAACTGCACTTATACCGCGTCGAACTCCATGTTACGGATAGTTACAAACATTCTGGCCTCTGTTCCCTTCGCTCGGCTATACGTTTATTACCTTCTTCAGTCTTTTATATTTGTTAAGGAACATGTATATGAACGAATTTGCGTATTTGTAGCTATCTTGCTTTGTTTGTTATTCTTCGATCGGCTTTAGCAGCGGAAATACAAAATTCATCGATGATATTGAAAGAAGAAAAAAAAAAAAGAAAAATAGTGGTAATAATTGTCGTGACAGTCAAAGAGCTCGTTGAACACACTTGGGTATTAGTGTATATAGCAGTACATGTAAGGCCAAACGGAACAACGCAGTGGATATCTGTCTATAAATAAATCCGAACGCTCTATAAATCGATTAATTGAACTCTTGATTTCAGAGGGCCTTTATTTAGCTTGTGTATGCGCATATGTGCCAACAACGACAACAACAAGCGCACGCAACTTGCTGGCTGCAGCGAATTTCAGTGTTGATGATTGAAATGAGGTCGAGATTGCTATTTCTTCGTTCTGTCTTTCTTTTCTTCGTTTTTCTCAATGACTTCGACGCATCGACTCGATGAAGAAACGTTGAATAACAGTAGTAAAAAAGCCGTGGTTCTATCAAGTGATGATGATTTTCAGGTATCGCTTTTTTGTACGACACACGGAGCTTGAATGCGAGACGGCAGTAACGTGGTAAGTAACAACAGTAATGAAGAGATGACGAATGAGGAAAGACGTCGTCGACGACTGTATCATCCAGGATCAGCATCGGACGACCATCAACAACTAGTCCAGCAGTACCAGCTCCAGCAGCTGCACCACAGAGTCTGTCAGAAGCAAAACTCGAGATGAGCTGGCACCGCTGCGAAGGTAGGGCCTCTTCTCCTTCTGGTCTCCTCGTTGAACTCTGCCATTGCAACGACGACGACGACGAGTTTCAGAGAGAATTTGCTGAGGAACTCGACGACGAGCGGCTCTCGAATTAATCTCCTGGTTGGCGGTTGGTCAGGTCAGGCTCAGCTTCCCGGTGAGCTGGCCCCTCGTCATCTAATGCGTCGGTGATCCTGACGGGGTAGCTGGGCCCTCGTCTCGAGTTTCTTTGAGTCCACGAGCGCAGCAGTAACGGGAAGGTGCGACGACGATGACGACCAGTGGCTCGTTTTTGCTGCTGCAGCCACGAGGAGGAGAACGACGAAGCTCTGCGGGCTCGACGCGGAGGTCATTCCAGAAGGCTTGATGGACGAACGGCTCTGGCTGGCAGCTCCTTCCTCTCCACAAGCACACGAGTGTAGTGTTAGTGCGGCCGGCAAGTTGTGGCTGGGCTGTCCGGTTGTCTTCGCAATATTTAAATGCAAGGCTGGTGGGTAGTTTGCAAGCCTCGAAGTTACCCAAGTACTTGAAGCCGCCGCAAGCTACTGACACCGACTACAACGAAGTACTTAAAACAACAACGACCGCACCAGGGGAAGAGAGAGAGCGCAGCTATGCTATACCGATGAGTGTGTAGTTATAGTAATAATGCGAGACTGCGATGCAGCAGCAACCAATTGCGGCGCGGAGCCGGTTTTCACCAGTTTGCACAGCGTGTATAAGTAAGAAGAGCGAGAGCAAGCACACAAACACAACACACGACCGCAGCAGAGGGCCCGTCTCGCTCTTTCTCTCCTTTCTCTCCGCTGATTCCTTTGGTTAATGTTGTTATACGATGCTCTCTCTGCAGTGTAATATGCTCCAGCAAAGCCGCAGTCTAGGCTGCTTGTAACAGGGCGGAACGAGTTTGTCTCAGAGTTTTCATGACGGGCACACAACGAAAGGGACACAGTTTTTTTTTGTTTCGCGATTCAACGACGCGCCGATCCGATTTCTTCGCGATTTGTCAGCGCTGCTCGGCTACTTACTACTGCGTAATTCCCGTGTATCAAGCGCTGCAGCATACACACCCGCGGACACACGGACACGCGCGCGCACTCGAGACCGTTTTCTATTTATAGACTTGGGAGAGCTGTGGTCTTCGTATTACATGCAGAATCGACGAGGAACGTCGAGAACACGACGACGAGGAGGAGGAGGAGGAGGAGGTAGTTCACAAAAGAAGAAGGAAGAAGAAGAGGAGGAGGAAGAGAGTATACACGAGGTGGTGTGTGTGTGTGGAGTAGGACGAGTGTACAGCTAGCGGTATATCATGTCTGCAATAAGTTGGGCCACTTTTCGGCGCACTTGGCTACTGGAGCGAAAATATTTCAGCCTCAGCTTGCTCTACACCGCGACACACTCTTGTATAGATTGTCAAACTTTTTTCTCTCGTTGATGTACTGTGAGAACGTTGGGCAGGTTGTTCACTTGTAGTTCTCGCGCAACAGCAGTTGTGCGAATCAGAGTCGAAGACGACCAAAGCTTGCGGAATTTTGACACGACGAGTAGCTGTTTGTTGTAAAAACCGAAGCTATAAGTATAGGTAATATAGTTACGTCGGACGTCACAACTTTGTACGGCGCGAGAGCCCAGTAACTTTCCAAGTGCAAATGTATCAGCCAGTCGGACGGATCGACACGAACTGCCGAGTGTAGCGGCTAATGGCTGGCGACTGTACCTAATAACGGACTTGGCAAGAGAGGCGAAGAGTGTGAGCGAGCGCGAACGCGGAGGAGAGAGAAGCGCGATAAAGCCAACCTCATGTATGTATATTATATATACGTAGCCTCCCCCCGGGTGCTCTCCATCCGATCATTTCTATTTACTTTTTATTACTTACGAGATGACCGGCTCGCTAGTATAATTGCTCGTATACAATATTCACAAGTTCAAAGTGATTACTTGCTAAGCTTTTCTTTCCTCCGGAGTAAGTAGCCGCTGTCCCGCAAAACTTTACCTCGCAAGCTCGATTTTCCAGGATACTGTGTCTCTTTCTCTCACTTGAGAATCTCAGGGTAAGTATACGCACATATACTACAGATCGTTATTTCTTTATACGTATACATGTAAGTATTTTGCTAATCAAGCCGAGAGAGATCGTTGCCTTGGTTCTTTTCGATCGATCGGCTCATCTTTGTGCTACAAGTATATATCCCGATATACTTAGTTACCAGCATGAGCTATTTTTTCGAAAGGTTTCCCGTTTATTTATTTATTAGCTGCACAGTCCATGTACCGCATGACATCAGCAAAGTAACTCTTCCCTCAACTTTGCTTACTTACGCAACTCTTACTCGTCCAAAATATAAGTATTTTTAACGTATGTGCTACCTATTGATCTGGTCTGGACAACGGCAAGTGTTGCCAAGTTACCCTACCGAGTCTCAACGAAACCAATTTTCTCTCGTTACTCCAATAAATAATGTGTTTATCATCGGTATACTTTCAGTTTCAATTACGGAATATTGATAAGATTATACGCCAGAGATACATGAGTATAACAACACGTGCCATAATTGTTGGAAAGCTATTTACCCGATAATTATAGGTAATATATGTACTGTATTACAAACATGCTTCCAATGTCTAATCTACTTATTTACATCCATGAAAAATGAGGACGCACATAAGTGGTTTGGTACAAAAAATGAGGCTATACGAAAATTATGAAATCGAAAAAAAAAAAAATTTCACGTCCGAAATGGTGTATAAGTATCGCTTGTTTTAAAACTAAACTAGATGCGTCCGGTCAACTCCGGAATTCGTTATACACACATATATGTTGTGCCTCATGTATATAATATCTCCTAGAAAATTTTGAAGCGCGGCAGGTCAACATTTTTGCGTGCATGCACGCCCACACAACAGTTCGTTCTTTCTACTGAATTTATGTAGCAGCAAATATATATTTACATTATAGGGAATTAGCTACGTGTATATCCCTATCAAATATTCAATGTATGATATGATGAGCGTTGAATGTATATCGCTCCTTGCGATTTGCTAAAGTTGAGCTATTAATTGACTACTCGTATTGTAGGTGTATATGAGACACGAGAAAGTTTTCTTTTCCGGTGCAGTAAGTGCAAGAAACTTGTTAAAAAGTGCGGATGAATTTCAATTGACAATTAAAATATCCCGCTCGATAAATAAGTTGACACGAGACTACAAAAAATTTGCAACTATGTTGGCAGACATTACTAAATTGCAATGAGAGGATCATCATAACTCATTGACGTTGTATCTGAACTGATCTCGCATTAACCGGCTTCAGGCACCAAGTACTAATAACAACGTCAGCAAACTCGAATCGTATATGATTCGAACGCATTTTGAATTCAGATTTTTCTGGATTTATTAAGTGTATAAATATAGACACTGACGAAACTTGCTCACAGCGATTCGCAGCAATCAGCGTTTGATAAAATGTATCATCGTTAATGTGCTTTCATTGAAGAGATAATTGATATCGACTTACATTTTAAAATGTGACAGTGGATACCAAAAGTATGAATCAATAGTACTCGTGTTGGGACGAGTAAAAGTATACCAGTTAATTTATACATATTTTAAAACTAACAAAATATCTACTTACATAACGTCGGTGGATGAGTAAGGACTTCCAACATTCTGACTAACCGAGTTAGAGGATGAAAGAGAATCAACAGGTATCTGTAACAAGCGTAAAAATGCGAAACATAGAAAATTCAGAGCTAATAAATTTTTTGAGGCAGTAGATTATCATTGCGAACAAATGAAGATTTAAGGATAATTTTACGCTGTCGCTGTATTTGGTGGCAAGAAAATACATCTGTTTGTAGAAAAAAAAACGTCATATTCAGCGGAATAATGATAATGATCCTTAAAAATTTGGGGGAATACTAACATCTGTAAGAATAGTGCAATCATAGCTGGGCTGAAATTTGTCCTGCTCGTGGGGAGGTCGGCGTTGTATTTTGTCTCTATCCTGCTTGTGCTTACGATCCGCTCCCTTGAGCTTGAAGACCTTGACCTGGCACGAGGCAGCGTGAAGCCGCGGGCCCCCGGACAATCGGGTCTCAACTTGGATACGGAACGGCACACCTTTTTCGCCCCCATGTTTTTTGGGCGTGAATTCCGTGCTAATACAATTGATCTGAAACGAAAGAACACGAGTGTTTTACAGGGATTGTGGTAACGAGCGAGTGATCCCAACTAGCGCGTGACTGACCTTGACGTAACAGCCGATCTCTTTGGTTGGATCCCAGGTGAAATCGACGCTGTTGTTCAGAGAAGAAGATTGACAGACGTCGAGCATGCCGTAACTGAGAGGCACGTCGACTTCGAGTAGCCGCTCTCCCGGTCTCGCGCGCTGCCAGGCCAGAATCTGCTCGCGTTCCGTATACTGGAGTCGGCGCTCGTGAAAGCAGATACGTATTGTCGACTGCAATGAAAAGAAAAAATTCGTTCGTTCACATACTTGTTATCACAAGCTTTAAGCAAAGTAGGTCCGAAACAAATGGGGGAAAAAAAGGACGCACCTCCAAGGTTTTGCCACGGAAGGCAGACAGGTCACCGAGCTTTTTCAACTTAATCTCGTAAGACTGACCCTGATTGAGGTAAGTAAGCGTCTCTTCGTTGACTTTGGTAGCGATACTCGTCGCGGCCGCCAAAATATACTGGAAGCTAAAAAAAAACAAACAAGCAATATACAAATGTACCCAAGACATACGAAGTACAAGTGATGGAGGATGGGGGGCTGGCTGTATAACTAACCGGCAGTCCTCGTTGAAATCACTGCTCTGCTGGGATGAAGAGACATGATTGCCGGAGCTCGAGTTGAGAGGGTACTCGTCGTTGGCTGAACTCGAGTACGAGAGAAGCTGCTGGTGGTGCAAGTTGGCTGAATTTTGGGCGTTATTGTTGCTGTCTGGCTCTGCAAGATCGGCGCTTCCGTTGCTGGACGGGACTCCACTGATGCTTCTCTGAGACGGGTTGTGATTCAAACTGCAAACAGCCACGTATTCAAACGTAAATTCAAGCACGTTACGTCACGTAAAGTATACATTGTACAGGTTTTCGTTGCGGAGTACTCACTTGGTGGTGTTGTGTTGATTCTCGGGCGACAGCGCTTCTTGCTTGAATACTGTGAGCGATGGCAGTGATAGCAGAGCTTCACTAAAACAAACAAAAAACAAAAAACAAAAAATGAAATATCTTTTTCGACAATTATTTGGCAAAAGGAACGGAAATCGCGCTCATCGTCTGTAATACCGCGGGAAGGTATGAATCGTTGATTGTAAGTACCTCGGTTTGACATAGAGCATGTCTTCATTGAAAGCAAAGCGTCAAAAACACGATGCGCAGTATAACACCGGCGACGATATTATATACAGTTATGCACGTGATATGAATTAATGAAAATTACAACGGTGGCGATAACGAGAAGGGAGAGACGTATCGATGAGTTTCGCGGGACTTGCGGCTCAAACTTTAAAGAAGCAAATTGTATTGATAACGGACGAGCGAGAGAGAGGTGGGACGCAATTTGAATTAAAAAATCTAGCGGTGTTGGGTGTGTACGTCATATTATGGTGTCTAGGTGCAAACATACACGCGTGAAGTATGTAATAATAAAATATAAACATGTATAACGCACAATGAAAGAAAATGTGCGAATAACAACGCGTAGCCGTGCATACAACGTGTGACGCGTTACCGATGTCACGAGAGTTACTGAATCAAGCCTACTTGATCAAAGGGGCTCGACCCACACAACTTCAAGTCCCATTAGGGCTTATTATTGAGTTTATTGGGTTGCACAGGAGACACTCTCTGCGAACACCGTGTGGTGCACCCGATATATTACTCTATTATTTTGTTCACCATACGTACATGTATGCAACATTGTACATGTACACTTGGGGCCTTTGTAGCTCTACACATTACATACATGGCGAAATCAAATGGTATATCTTGGCATCAATGATGCTGCACGGCGAAAAATCGGTTGACAAGCAAATGGGTACTCATACTGTCAAGTATTTTACGTTCATACTTGTAACACCACGCACGTGTCTGCCACTATCAAAGAAGTGCAAAAAACAAAACAAAAAATACAAATATTTGATTTTGCATCCATCCGTCTTTTCTAGCGTGCTAATAAACTGATAACGGCATTTGACTAGCTCCGTGCCTTATCGGTAATGATTGTTTATGCGTTATATATGTACGTACAACGTAAGGCCACGGTTAGCTCCAACTGGCTCGAGCCGGTTGTACAGCTTAATTTCGTCCGCAATTGTTAGCGAGCGGTAGCCACTGCTTTTTGTTTATTTTTAGGTTTTCGAACAATGCAATTCAACCTTTTGTTTTTGCTCCTTTGTGACGAAACGATGAAATTTCACAAGCACATTTTTAATGAAAAATGACGATCGAACCGTCTGAGAATAACCAATAATCGAAACTTTAAAAATATTAAAAAATCTCGCTCTTTTTTCCTTGCTGACTTACCGATGTTTCAAATAATGGTACATCCTCATTGTTGCTACCAGACATTTGTAAGCAACGATGCCACACAGTAGGGATATCAACAGTCATCGTGAAGGGAAAAAATCGTTCGAAAATGATTGTCTTTGCGAATGTCAGGAGTAACGGCCCACTTCGAGTAATTATTTTCAACGTGAAAAGGCATTGATCGAGCTTGCAAACAATTTTTACTCAGTGTCACCACTAAAACGCGATATCACACTGCGATGGTGGTCAATATCGGCTGCACGTGACAAACGTTAATTTATGCAACTGCACTGATGTGTATACGTGAACGTACAGAGATGTTCATATATCGAAACAGTTGGGGTTGATGATGGGTAAACGGGCAGGTGGGTTAAAATAATATATCGCGGGTATCGACTTTAGATCGGCCGTGGCAGCGATACGCGCGAGGGATGTCACGACTGCAGATGAAACTCCGATCGGCCGTGGCTCGGCGCGTCTCGTTGCACGAGAGCTCTCTTATATACAGCCGCATGCTCTGTTGAACTGTCATCTCGATTTTCATCACGAAAAAGTTGGTGAGGCAAAAGAAGGAGAAAAAAAAATGGCATCGTCAGTCCACAGGCATAGCCGTACACAACGAACCGCAACAGAAACAGCGGCAGCTTATGCTTTGGTGTATGCCTAGCCGGCAACGGACGACCGGTTGAAACCGGATTTTTTACATTCTGTCTGCGCTCTACTCTGCTTTTGTCTCTCTTTCGATTCCTCAAGCTACTCCAGGCTGGTCACTTGGTCCATCTATGCGAACCGCGGCTGGACCTCTACATCACAGAGACGTATGACCGCTTGGTTTTGCTGAGATACAAGAGAGGGAGGACAAAAGCTTGCTGCCCCCGCTGCTGCTATTTGCTAAAAAGTCGGGGTTCGATGGGGGTCAATAGGATGGGTAGCTTTCAATCGACTGTAAATTATTTAATCGGCGCTTTAGATCCTTTGGATGTAACTGCGCGCAGCCATAGTGGTTGTTGGAGATAGTCGGCCAGAAATGGTTTCTAGCTTTGCTACGTTCGGTAATGTAGGCTGCGCTGTTACGCACATTCCTCTATCTCTTTTTGCCGGCTCATTTTTTCTGCAGATAAATAACTATTTGTACTATGTTCGTTTATTTTACACACGCGTTTCTTTATATTTTTCAACTTGTGATAGAACTCACTTATTCTACCAATTTTCGTTAAGATTAGAATTTTTAATCACCTCTTATCGTTAATTCCTGGGTTACCGTTTTATACTTTCTATTTTGGAGATTCCGTAAGACCCCGATGATTGTAATGTTTTTTCAATATTTCGTATCACACTTTCCATCTTTTTGATACAAGAATTACAGACGAAGTCGTTGGTTGAGTTTAATATTAAATTTAGCGCTAACTGCGGAATCATGCGCATACTTTGAAGGAATACTCAAAAAAGTTTAGGAAAGTACTTATTACCTTATATTGTAAGAAGCGACGGCTGTTGCGAAATCCGAGGCTGCAAGGTCCGATAACGAGCCATCGAAATCGGTAACCGAATTATCCGCTAGCTCTTCGACTGGGGACGGCCACCCTTGGGAGCTATTACTTCCTGCAAAGTACAAGCACAATTCAGTGGCGGACTTGACTTTTGTGTCAAGTTCGAGATAACATCTTGATGAAAAATAAGCAGATTCGATGAAAATGAGTTTTTCATGACGTTTCGAAAAATCAGAAGCAAACGTGTATTTAAATCATCGTGATTCATTATTTTGTTTTAAATGTTCGAATAAAGCCAACTCTTGAAAATAACAAAAATGATGATAGTATCTAACGATATTATTAACGATAACGAATAATTAGCAAGTAGTTACAATGGCTAAAGAGAGCACTGAATGATTAATGTTCGAGTTTTGAGAATAATTTATTTTTTCACTTTCACGGTCAATTGACTGATAAGTTAAAATTCGAAAAGTTGACTTAATAGCAAATCGCCACACGACACTTTCAAACGCATAAACAAGTACTCGTATATTTTATTACAGGGATGAAAATTTTTTTTAGCGATTATTCTGCGAATGTCGTTTTCTCATTTATCGACGATGCAACGAATATATTTATATAAAAGTTGTATAAGTATACACCATGGTAGCATTATAATCTTAAAAGCTCGCACGAGTCTGCCGCGTGTTTCGACTCTCTGTCTCTTTCTTTCTCTGCACGTTGTTGGTATGTATATAACGTTATACAACGACGACGCACCACGAGCAAACGAGTGCGAGTGCCTGCGCCTTCAGGAAATTAATGATTGACCCATTGGAGCCATTTCGTATATAGTTGAGTTATTCAAGCGTTTTAGCTCTTTCGCGCTCTCGTATAAGCTCGATAATGTCTCGTCTGATGGGCAAACAAAAAATGCCGCGCTTGCCGAATTCACGAGCCAAAAGTGCGAGAGCAATGAATGGAAAAAAGATCGGCTAGCTTCGATATTTTTTTTAACGAAGCCGTCCAACTGTGGCACGATTATTCAAGCTCGTAGTACCGATCGCCTTTTGTTCCTACGTGAGCGGCTTCCGCGCAACGGGCTTTGTACTGCACTCGATCGAGAAAACAAAAACGCTAACCATTCTTACGGGCGAGTTTCCTCTCGGGTTCGCTGATGGAGTGTTGGTGCTGATACGAATCGTCAGCAGGGCGTTTCAGGGCCTGGGATGACGGTGGCGAGTGGAGGCTCGACGATCCGAAGGTGAGCTTGTGCTCGGGAGACTGGCTGCTCGTGCTCAGCGGTGAGTCCGGATACTGGAGTTGTTGGTGGCGGTACTGATTATGATGTTGGTGCTCGGGGGATGCTTTCGGTGACAGATCTTTGTTGTCCTTCCAGAGAAGACTCTGCACCATCCCTTGACGGCTCAGCGATGTCTGTTTTTCAGAGATTGGACATTTTTTTTTTTTTATTTGTTACGTAAAGGTTTGAAAGGTAAATGGAGATGGTAACAGACGAATCTGAGCATTAAAAAAAAAAAAAAGATTTCATTTTTACTTGTGTTCATGGACAAATTATTCCAGCTTGGCAGTAGAAACAGCTTTGAGGGTACAATTTTCGGTGATCAAAGCGAATTGAGCTAGCAATTACCGCGAATTGCTTTGATAAAAGTTAATCAAAGATTCGAGTTTACGTCATTCAAGTGATCTAAAGCAAATTTTTCTCAATATTTTTCACAAATGACGCTCAATCTCGTCCAACTTTCTCATGAATTAAGTGTTTTTTTTTTTTCATTTTAATTGATACGCCAACAGGCTTTCGATTAAACATTTTTTTTTTCCTTTTTTTAGTACCACTAAAAAATCTTATGAATGAAAAAAAAAGCAACTGAAATTATCACCTTTATGAATTAGTCCACCAAAAGTGACGCGTTACGAATAGAAAAGAAATTTTCAACGAGTTGATTGTGGAATAGACCACAATTGCGTCTTTTGATTGCGAAATAAGTCTCGTGTATTAAAAGTGAAGCGAGTCTCGTCTCAGTGTCGTTTTATTGAGTCTAATGTTAAACGACTGCCACGCAAGACTAAACCTTGTCCGTGTATACGTACAAAATATATATGCTCAACTGTTTTTCGTCTTGTTACACATACTTGATTTTTTTTTTTTTTTAATTTACTACATTAATTTTGATTCGAGTATATTATTGTAAGAAAAACATAAATAAGTAACATCAAACACCAATAATAACATATATAAAAATAAGCAATAAATTCCGAGACTCGCTATACTCACTTGTTGTCCAACAATTGGTTCGCAGTCGTTCAGCCTGCCGGGCGACAATTGTTGGTATGTCGGCGATAGAGAGCCGTTTAGCCATATATTCTCCGTGCCAGTGTCCATAATTAGTTGCAATTCCATTTGTATTATTTTTTATTCCTCGAACGGGAACCCTCGTACCGATATTTTCAATGCGTTCCGCAAATGTTTTTTTTTTTTTTTTTTTTTTTTATCGACAACAATAATGATAATATCAACAATAATAACTAGCAGTAATGGCAGCAATGATAATAATAATAATGACAATAATAATAATAATAACAACAAGACGAAGAACAACGCCAAATGTACAGTTAACAATGGAGCCCTTGGTTTTTCTCTCAGGTTCGACCACTGTACTTTCTTTCCGTGTTACTTTTGTTTTTTTTTCTTCGAATATTATAAACTTTTCTCTGCTGAATGGAATACTTGTCGGCTTTGATCGAAATAACAACGTCAACAACAATATAACAATCTGATTCGGAGAGCCGGCACTTACAAATCGAGTAAGGGCGAGAGGAAAAAATAATGAAACGAGAAAGAAAGACGGTGAACTTTTTTTTCTCTTCTTCTGACTGGGATTACTGAATCTAAGGGTTCAGACTTGGCTGTCCTAATCCTACAGACATGTACTACTGACGATCAGCTCCAGCAAGTCTCGTTGGCATTTTAACTAGCGAATTTCAGCTAGCATGATTTTTCTTTCGCTTTGGATGTAATTTTTTTCTTCTTGCTGCCCGAAAAATTAAAGCTCTTTTCGTTTTTCCTCGTTTGTGGGTACACTTTGGTTTACCCTACGACCCACTACTCCTTATTAATTAATGACTTAATTAATCGATCGGTAATAAGGTACGATAAGTGTTGCGTGCGTGGTATATCATGTGATGATGATAATGCGCGCGAGCCGTCAAGGAGCCCTAAACGAAGCGATCGCCGTCCATGCGAACGTCGTTTGGCTTCCTGGGGTACTCGTTGTCCTTGGCGCAGCTACAACAACAGCAAAAACAAATTTGTGCACACCAGGCGCGCATAATCACCGAGTCTTGAAAGCCAAGCCCTGTATGTGTGTTCTCACGATCTCTGGCAAACGACAAAAGTTTGCTCGTTGGCGTCGCGACGTTAGCCAACGACGGTGAGGATGATGATGGTGATGATGAGCACACGGAAACTATGGTATCTATGCAGTTATCGTATGTATACGTAGGAGCAACATCGGCGACAAAAGAACAACGACAACGAGAACAATACACACTGGCCTCTGCTGGTTCGATCAAAGAGAAAATTTGGAGCTTCGCCCTCTGATCTGCCGGTGGCGCGCGTATTATTATCAGCCGGTTTTAGAACATCACGAAGAAACTGTTATACAATTTCTTAATGCCAGTTGTCTCGCGTTGTCGATGGGTTTCAAGTAGTGCGCAGCCCCGTGATTTGAGCGACAAAAAACGCGAAAACACAATGAACACGTCCTCGAAGACCATGGCAACGTCCTCGCTACAGCGCATCTTGCAATTAATCTCGCCTGTCCTGACGATAATGGCTCCGGCTTGTTTTCTCTCTGGTGTTGTTGATGAACCACTAATTATGTATGCATACAGTATGGGCCGAGTATTCAGCAACCGCACCACGACTGCTGTCGCGACGACCAGGGTTAGCAACTCCACCACCAACAACTGTGACAATGACGACGACACTAGTTTTCTTCCTTCTGGGCTGACCTCGTGATCAACGATCGTTTTATGCACACACAGAGCCCCTATCACTGTTAACAATATACTCAAGCGCTCGCTTACCCAGCTGGCACTGCCAACTGATGCCGAGAGCTGCTGCTACTCCGACCGTGCTGTTGGCTGTGGTTGTTTTTTCCACGGCTCGGAGTGTTTCAGTTAGAACCAGAGCTTACCGATGCCTCGGTGATCTCTTCTCTCGGTATGATGTACAGGCTCCCTCTCTTTTTCTCCCCGATTTGCTTCGCTCTTCCCTACTTCGTTTGATGTATATATCCACCGAGCTACCGCAGAAGGGACTGATATCGGCTTTAGCTTCGGCAAACGCTGCTCCTGTTCCTCCTATGCACAACTTCAAACACTTTAGCTGACGTGTTTATATGTATATCTATGTGTGTATATGTATAACGCACCACTTGGTTCAACTACTCACCAGCTCGAAAATAAGCTGTTGCAGAGATTTGAAGACTGATTGAAAGGAAGCTGACGCTCGTCCAGTTCAGTGTATCACCTACTGCAACAAGAAGAACGACGACGAGGACGATGGCAATGTAATATGTAAAATATTACGGCTCACACACTGATAAGTGTCTCGGGGTACGTAGGCAATCGCCTGTCACGGTGTCACCACATTTTCAAGATCCTTCGCTCCATCGCTGAGCCAACGATGTATGAGAGGGGAGAAGAAGAACGGGACGACGGAGAAGAGACGGAGGACGAACGATGGTGCTCGACCAGCTCGGCGACCAGAGAGAGGCAGACTGCGGGCTTTTGCGAGTCGGTAAAACACCACCAGTGTCGATGCGGAGCTTGTGCACTGGAGAGCGCTAATAGACCCCCGTTGCTCGGAACTGGCTCACCAAAACCAAACCAAAAACACAACCGACGCCGGGCGCGCACGCACGTAAGTGAATCACTGCTGTTACAGTCGGGATGCACAAACAAAACACACAAACACACGGAGGGACGCGTTAATACACAAATTTGTCACTTTGCGTGATTGTTTATTTCACCAGTTTTGAGAGAATCCAGCAACGCTGAATGAAAAAAAAAAAAAAAACTACGGAACTCTATTATGTAAATACGCACGCTCAACTCTTTCGCTTCTCTTGAGAGAGTCCATGTACAACCTTTATGAATGAAAAAAAAAAAAAAAAAAACACCACGGGAAACAACGGCAAAAACAAACCACAAGACCAAAAACCGGTAACTCAAAAGGGAGATAACGATTAAACAAAGACCGGAGGAGAAGTCGAGGTGCAAGCGAAGCTCAACGAGTCGATGAAAGCTCGGTGATGCTGGAGCGACTTGGGCGCGCAAGGGCAAGAGTCAATGTCTCTCGAAGAGTAGCAACCAGTAGATCTGGGCCATTCGAATGATTGCCGAAGCGCAGCAGCTACCGCGCACTTTTGCCTACGTTTATACTAGTCGCTCCCGCGTTTGAAACCCGACTGCATGCAAGAGCGCGGGGAGAGCTGCAACTAGACGACGATGCCGAGGACTACGTGTGACTATGTACTATACACAAGCGACGGCTATCGACGATAACGACCACGGTATCTAATTAGCCGTTAGAGCTGGCTAACAACAGACTGAGACAGAGAGAGAAAGAGAGAGAGAGGACGTGGAGGTGGACTATGGAGCTAGACGAGTCAGACAATCAGGAGCTTGCTCGTGACGGGCCGCGTGCGAAGTTCAAGTGCGAGGAGCGCGAAAAGAACAAGGATGGGGATCTGCCGAGTGTTGACTGCGCAGCTTGCGCTCTATCAACTATCAATCCTCTAGCCTGCCTAGTTGTTGCTTCTGGTACATGGCAATAAACGATGTACAAAGCAGAACGGACGAACGAGCGAGCGAGCGAGCGAGACGTTGACGACAACGACCACAAGGGACTTTTACGGGCACGGATTATTGGCGTCTCTGATGGCGCTGGCTCAATGACGGCTCGGCGGAGATTAAAGGCCTGGCCAATCCGAGTGTGATCTCTAGCTGACCCTCAATTGGAGCTTATATATGTATGTATGTATGTATGTATGTACCGTGGCTTGGACCAACTCGCGAGGGGACACGAGCTTTTGTGTATATGCGGATGCACGCCGAGCGCGCGCGTATACGTTACAAAACTAACGGCAGCAATGACGCGGTTGAATTTTTTCCTCCCTTTTGGGGTCTGTCGCTCTTCTTCACCTTGAAATCCCAAAAGAGGTCGCTCTTTAGCTTATCTCCGTTAATCCGCATCCAGTGATGACAATATTCTGATTATCTATTGCTGCCGCGGGCACGCTCTCTGATTAGCTCGTTTCGGCGGCTACACCGGAGTGTCACAAAATGGTGGAGGAGAGGAGAACTGAACGCCAGTGCAGAAAGATCTTTCGATCGTCCGTTCGTATAACGGGCACCCCGATGGATTGAAAAATCGTTAATTAAGGTGGTAACGATTACAACACAAAAGGTCCAACGACGCGACGATAACGTTGCTGCAACGCTCGACACCTGGAACAGAAGGAAAAAAAAACAAAAAAAAACAAAATTCATCATTAAAGAGACCAAAATGTAAGATGGTCCGGGGTTTCATACGCTATACTCAAGAGACACATAATCGTTTTGATTTCCTCTCGTTTGGTTCAATTTTTTCATTACTCGCCATATACGTATATATGTACACAATTCTTTTGCCCTCATCTGCCCAACGATTTAACGACTTATCCCCTCCTCGTTCAAAGTCTTTTGTTTTTCTTACAGAAATGAGTTTGTGCATATGCAGCTAATTCAACTATTTGAAAAATAGCATGCACAAAAGTAGACCTCGCAATATAGAAAAGAGACTGCAATGCGGATCCGAGGGTATAATATACCTACACAACAATTATATTAAAGTGGGCGGCTCGAAATTTGTCCATACTATATATCATAAATTCGTATACGCGGAGAGAGGAATATATG